GTCAGAGGGCACCTAATGTCTCTCTGTAAGTTGTGTACTGTGAGTGTGTATTATCTAGCATTTTTTTTCTGTTGTAGGTAATAAAAAAAATCCAATGCACATTGGCTTTAGTACTGGAGGAGGGGGTACATGCACTGACCTCACTCTATCTATTTCTTCCTTATCTTCTTCTGTTTCTTTAATGTTAACTAAATTGTTGTAGGCAGAGAAACCGAACAAGGGAAGAAAGTTACCAACAAGGCTTTGGGTCTTATCTTGTTCCAGATTTACCTCCAGTAAGAAAGATAGGAAGTCATGCCCTCCCACACTAAAAGGCATAGGAGGTCGTCATTGGCCTAATCCACATCATATATCTGCCCTTGAACCCGTGACTGTGGTCAAATACTGGATGTTTTATCTTGACAAGGTAATCCTTCTCCTGAAACTCAGGCCCACAAGCAAAGAAGGGCCACCTGGGAGGCAGTACCTGGGACAAAGGTGAACGAGGGAATGGATTCTGCCAGTGCAAATCAGGCTAAAAGATTCCTATGTAAACACACAAAAAAGAGGGGCAAGAGAGATAGCTCAGTAGAATAAATGCCTGCCTGGAAAGCACAGGGTCCTGAGGTCAACCTCTGGTACCATCAAAAAAAAAAAAAAAAAAAAAAAAAAAAAAATACCAAAAAAAAAAAAAAATGCTACAAGATGTGGTCAGTGGTCATCATTCCTCAGTCATATAATGTCACACAGGTCAATGAACAGTTTCTCCACAAATCAAGTCTTGGGCTTTCTAACAAATAAGCAGAATAAACACCACTAATACACAGTCCAGTGCAGCTATATAGTTTTCATAATGCATCAGACAGAAACTACTTTAGTCATTATACAAAAAAATCTCATTTTCTTTCTCCATCATCTTTAATGTACACTAACATGGCATATATCCAATCCTGGAAGACGAAGAGCCAGAACTTACTTCTAGAAATGGCCCAAATTTCTTAGTTTTAATTATTTTCCAATAATTCCTCTCATAATGCGTGACATATTTCCCCATCTGTTTTGCTTTATGTCTGCATATCCCCCTCAAAGCCTCTTGTACTCAGAAATGGGCTTGCGGAAGATGGCTGGACTATGGGGCACACCACTGGCTTGGTCGGGGGAGCAGAGATTCCCTCTCGGCCATCCCTCTCGCTCTCTGCTTCCTGGCTCCGATGAGGTGAGCAGCTTTCCTCTGCCCCCCTCTCTTCTACCAGTATTGGGAACTCGGAAGCTGGAAATTGACCCTCTCTGGAAGGGCAGGACGAGGCCTCATTGCCTAAAGCAGTCAGCTGCCTCAGGCTTGAGAAAAACACCCTGCCTGGACAGTGTGGGCTATCAGTCGCTAGGTAACTTTACGAAAACATAAATAAACCTCTGTTGCTTTGGGATCTTTTTTCCAATAAGGCAAGCAGACCTGACCCAGCTTTTGTCTTCTTGTTTATCTGTTCCTCATTCCTGCTGCTGTTTCTCCTGGGTACCAAGAGACCACCAGATCCCTACCCACCAGGCTGCTTTGGCCTGGAGCCCACTGACCATGCAAAAACTGCAACTGAGGAAATGTGAACCAAAACTAACCTCTTGTCCCTTAAATTGTGGGTGTCAGTGCTTGCATCTCAGTGGTGAGGAAGGCAACTGAGACACCATCCAAACAATCCAATGTCACACACAACTTAACATGATGCTGCTCTTTCCTGATTTATGCAGCAATGCTCTCAGATGTGGCTGGGGTTTATAGCACTTTGTGCCCTTGCACCGGATGTAGTCAAGCCATGCAGTTTCTTTGTTGGCTGCAGTGAGTCTGTGGACTAATCTCACTAATCTGATCTAGGGTACCAACTAAACCTTCTAGGCCTCAGACTCATGATTATAATGGACACCTGAAATACTCGTAGTAGCTGATGTTAATGTTTGCAGATTTGTAAATGCAAAAGCAAGGAGTCAATTCATTTAAAAAGCATGATGGTTAACTTTTTTATGTATTTTGGTATAGGGTCTCACTACACAGTTCAGACTCATAGTGATGTTCCTGTTTTCAGCCTTCCCAGTGCTGGGATTACAGGTGTATGCCACCACACCCAGACTTGGTCGCCGGCTCAGCACACCCCAGCAGTGGGGCTGGCATGGCATGCAGTACCAGGGATCAAAACCTGGTCCCGCTACTTGCCTAAGCAGGCACTTAATCTGCTAAGCTATCTCACCAGTCCAGTGATCGTTAACTTTAGATGTCTGCTTCATTGTCAGGGCATTATTAATGGATGTGTCCTTCAGGGTTTCCAAAAGGTCTAGCAGGCGAGTTAGGGGTCTAAGTGGGAAAGATCTATCCTCAATGTGGACAGATACTGTCTAGTTGAATGGAGACTTAAATACAACAAAAAAGCAGAGGTAGAAGAAACACCTCCCTACCTTCTAAATCTGGAATGTACCAAAACAGTATTTAAAATACTGTTTGTACCTTCAATTGCCAGAACTCCAGGCTCCTTATTTAGACACCAGTACTTACACCAGCAGCCTTTCAGGCTCTCCTGGTGTCCCTGGTGCAAAAGCCTTTGGACATGGAGTGAACCACACTACTGACATCCCTGGGTCTGTAGTTTGCCTGTCAAAGGGCTTCTTAACTCTCATGATTGTATGAGTCGATTCTCCTTTAAAATCCTCTCTCCTATATCTATGTATGTATACCACTGGTTCTGTCTCTCTGACAAACTGGCTGATACAAAGGACTGCCAAGAAAAAAGGGCAAAGTTTTCACCCCAAAATGTTCATGTCATATATAACTTCCTTGATTTCATTAATATAGAGGCCATACAGGTCCTGAGAGTAGATTCAAAGGCAAAAACAAAAACATGTTCCTCTAATACAACCCTTGGCCTCTCAAACAATAAGCTGATAAGAAGCTGACTACCAAAGCTGTGCAAAAAAGAATTTCCTGGAAGTTGGACCCCAGAGAGAAATAGAGAAGAGAATTCCTTCCAGAAAGCATAAACAGATTTTAATGAAGGAGTCAAACCACTATGGGAGGGAGGAGCCTGTGGGTGCCTGCCCACCATTGCTGCAGGTCAATGACAGCTGTATCACTCATGCTTCTGCATGAGAATTTTTAGCACAATATTATTGTGTGGGAACAGAAACTCCTCAAATGTATTTCAGCAGAATTAAAAGAAGGAAATGATTAAATGATTGATAGATAGATAATCAAAAGCAGCTGAGAATGGGCAGAATAATATGGGGAAAGAAGAGAGGAAGTAAAGAGAATAATGGAAAAACCCATCATAGAAGAATTTTAGCAAGTGCAAATACGCTAATATGAAGGTGAGGGCCTCAACTGAGCCTTCAAAGAGATCTGTCCTTGTTTACAGCAAATGTGAAATTTAGGATGAAGCAGAATAGCAGAAGTGACCCTAAAGTTGATGTCATTCAGAAAACAGAAAGAGACAAAATTCTGCAAAGAATAAAGCAGATGGGCCATACTTGCATGAAGCGCTCTGTGCAGGTTAAGTTTTACTGTCAACTTCATTGACTTGGGAGGCGCCTAGGGAATCTGTAAAGTACACTTCTGAGGGTGTCTGGGTGGTTCACTTAGGCATGGCCTTGGATATATATCTGGGCTCTGGGCCCTGCCTCGCAGGCACTGCTCATCTGCTAAGCTTGGCTTTGTCACAGCCTTCTATCATGATGTCCCTGCCTTGGAGCCACCTAACCATGGACTGAATCTTCAGAAGCTATGAGCCAAATAAACTGTTTCTTCTGTAAGTTTCATGTGTCAGGCATTTCACCCCAGCAATGAAAACCTGATTAATACACACTCTAGCTCAGAAACATGCAACAGACATGAAGAAAGGCTTGGGAGGTACCAGCTGGGAATTACCCTTCCTCATTGTTTCTTCCCAGCCCCACAATTACACATGACAAGTAGCTGCTCCGGGAATATCCAGCTGTCTTGCACTGTATGAAGCAGCTGAGAGCCAAGAGTCATCATTAAAAGCTGGCAAGTCGTGTAAGTAAAATATAATAATATTTAAGCATTTAAAAGATGGGACAACCAAAACTGTGTGATTGAGGAGATTGGGAAGAGATGTTATCTCCCATAATAGGGATCCAAGACATGCTGGTCAATGAATAGAAAACCAAGGTTATTGTGTACTATGATAATAATAAAATTAGCTTCTAACACAAAAATGGAAAACTCCCCCCAAGAATCAGCATATGCTTGCTCCACATTCACAAATAAAATAAGACTGAAATTGGGGCAGGAAAGAAGTAGGCATAGCTTACTGTATGACCTGTCACAGAGAGCAGTTGTGCAATTGTCCACCTAGGAAATGCTCAGGTTTTAGGAAACTGTATTGGGAGTTTATGAAACTGTATTGGGAGGACAGGAAGTCAGGAAGTGGCGCCTCCCGAAGAAAGAGAGCTCACTCCCCTTCTGTCCCAACAGGAAGTTAAGAAATAATTCCCAAAACCAAAAGTGCCAGATATGGCAACACAAGCATGGTATTTGAAGACAGAGAGGAATGCTAACAAAGTAAGTGAAATAACCAAACAAGAAAAAAAAAAAAAATGCACGCATCTCTGAGGAGTGAAAAAAGGAGGGGAAGGCAGAATGCTGTTTTCCATCACGAGCTTGGAAGCGCATTTTTGTTCTATCATACATTACTTTTAATGAGAAATGCAATCTTTTTTGAGAAATACAATCATTAAAAGGAATTGGATCTCAACAGAAAAATCTGAGTTCAACTGGCCCATTCATATTTTCCACTCTTGCCTTTTCACTATGTTCTTTCTAATGAAATGTTCCCTGGCCTTTGATTCTGAAAAGAAATTCTCTGTTTCTTTGCCTTTGACTGCAAGCCCCACAACAACAGCAGTGTTTCATAAGCCTCCTTTCACCCTCCAACTTCCATGCTCACTGTGAGGACACTGCCGGGCTGACCATTACTCAGAGTGGCCTGCAGAGGAAGAGATATTAACAAGCGACCAGATACCTATGGTGGTGATGACTGTCCCGGCGAAGAAAAAGGCACTTCCAAGGTCCCAATGACTGCTGCTGTTGGAAGAGTTTCCTACTGGACTGACTCCTGCATTGTCAGCATCAAGGGCATGCTGCAAAGAAAGGCAAAAGCACAAGACTCAGTTTAAACGTCTTTTTGGAAAAGCTTCCAATAAATTACTGCCCTTTGCAAGGACCTGCAATGATCTAAAGACGACTGGGTAGGTGGATGCAGGCACTGTCATAAAGTGAGATACCATGCACTTGTTTATGGGCAAGGGCAGGGAGCTAGGGTATAGCGTGTGGTGCCATTTATACAAAACATGCAGGTAAGAGATGACCTGCCTGGGTGACACCAAATGCACAGTAATACTGCTGTGCATGCACACAGAAGGTAGCCCAATGTGGTCATTTCTGGAAGGCAGGGCTGCAGCTCCTGATCCACTTTCTTTTTTTTTGGTCTAAATGTTTTATTTTGACTTAGGAGCTCAGAAAGTAAGTACTTGGGCTCCCAGGTCAGGACATCTCAGTTCCTTCCATTGCTAACTCCACAACCCTGAGCAAGCAATGTTAACCTAGCTAGGCCTAGTTGTTTACTCCTCTGCAAAGCAAGGTCAAATTCTTCCCCCCACAGAGCTAAGGGAATCCACATAGATGGTCCAGATAATAGCCTCAGCCAAGGTCTACTGGCTCCATGGGTTGTCTTTTTTTTTTTTTTTTTTTCAGAGCTGGGGATTGAACTCAGGCCCTTGCGCTTGCCAGGCATGCGCTTATTCAAATGAGCTATCTCCCCAGCCCCCTCCATGAGTTGTCTTACATATTTTTCTTTGCTATCATTTAAGAAAGCAGTCATGTGCTGTTTAACAACAGGCATAGCTGTGAGAAACACTTTGTTGGGTGATTCTGTCATTGTGTGAACACCGCAAAGTGTACTTTCACAAATTAAAATGGCTATGATGTCACTCAGAGTTATTATCTAATGGGATCACAGTGATATGTGTGAACCTTTATTGCCAAAAACATACACAGTGGTTACTGCAGTAAAAACATTCATGACTGTCATTTCACAGACCCCCAGCACATGCATATATACATTACTCTTTTTTTTTCTTTTTGAGACTGGTCTCACTATGCAGTTCAGGTTGGCCACAAGCTCATTTTGTAGTCCTGACTGGTGGCAAACTTGCAACGATTCTCCTGTCTCAGCCACCCAAGTGCTGGGATTACAAGCACGCACCACCACCCCCAGCTACACTGCTCTTTTTAAAATAAACAAACTACAGTGACTCCCTGCTTACCACTGGATTTGTATTCATATGCCTTTAAAATCCCACTAAACTGGCCACATTAATGGCCCACTCTCATGTTACCTACTGTAGATCTCCACCCCAGGAGATGTTCCCCCATTCCCATGTACCTTGTTTGTCCCTTCCTGCAAACTACGCTGATTTTTCAGGGTTCATCTCAGAACTCACCTCTGGGAGACAGGTCTATACATTGCAACTCCACAACTGCCCCTTGCCCTGGATTACACTTTTGCACCAAATACAAATACATATGCATTTTTCCCTAGCTTCCTCATGAGCAAAATAAAATAAAATACTGTTATCAGCCTTTCCTCAGCTGGCCCTGCAATCCTTTCTCAGGCCAGTGGAGAAGGCAGGAAGGGCCGTCATTGCAGCAGAAGGGCATGTGTTCACATAGGTGAGCTGGGGTGAGAAGTGACAGGTGGAGGCTTCAGCGAGGAGGTGACAGACATACGTGCTCCTTCTAAAACAACAAATAGAGACTGTTTCCTGGGCAAACTGGAAAAACCTTATGTAAAGAGGGCAAGACAAATATTGAAATGTGATTATATTTATCTTCAGCAATGCCCATTAGGCTTTGTTTAAATAGGCACATTACGGTTGTCACAAATCAGATTGCAACTGAAAAAGTCCATCATCATTATGTTCTCCCTTCAATAAGAATATTTAATGTGATAATTCACACTCTTTAGACCTGAGATAAGCAACCTTTTCTATTAAAAGGTAGAGAGTAAATATTTTAGCCTTGGCCGGCCACATACAGTCTCTGTTGCATATTTTCATTTTTTAAGTAACACCTCGAATATACAAAACTCACTTATATCTCAGATGTGGCACAAAAACAAACTACAGGCTACATCAGGCAGATAAACAATTGATGGGATGATAGAGGGACAATCTCTTCTGTTTAAGTTTTAGACTCTTCTTTCTTGCCACTAAAAACATGAAATATTGTGAAGGTTGTAGTCAGTTGCTAACTCTAATTTAATCCCCGGCAGCCAGAATTTTAAATTAGGCTGCATGAGATGTGTGCAGGATATCGCTGTCATTGGTTTAAATCGGCCTAACTGGCAAGAATAGCTTACTCCCTTATTCAAGGGCTATATTCTGTTCTGCTTCTGAAGGAAGACAGATGGTGAGTCCTTTCCTCTGGTAAAATACCCATTTTCACCATGCTGCGTGAATGTCACCCAACCAAACCACAAAGCCTCAGCCTGTTTTTTATATCCTCTTTATCTATCCAGCCCTGATGGTCCCACTTGGAGCTAATACTCGGGGACAGTTCAGTCATTTAAGTCACCTCCAGTCACACCAGCAGCGCCTTATATTTATCTTCTATTAAGCTGCAGAACCAGCGTAGGTTCAGTCAAGTCTCACAGGGCTCAGAATTGTTTGCAAATGTCAGTGTTGCATGTAAAAAATACAGATAGGAACAAAAAGACAAATGGGGATGATTATTTATTTCATCAAAAGATCCAAAAGCTGGTGTCTTTTGAAGTTTCATTTCTCTTGAATTATGCAATTTATTAATATTTCAACTTTATGTATGTAACCCACAAAGAGTATTTATCAGATGAAAGAAATAAAAGGAAACTAGCATTTGGTAAGTGTCTGCAATTACCAGGTACACCAAAAGTGTTATTCCATTTTATTTTTTCCACAACTTGCAAGAAAGTGCTACAGTTCATACTTTAGAGATAGAAAACCGACACAGAGAAGTGAAGTAACTCCCTCTAGGTCACAGAGCGAGTGGAAACCCTGCCTAGTCCAAAAGCACATGACAGTGACTTTTCCTCTGCATACAGTGACCAGGACACACTCCACCTCACCCACTTCCCCCTCACCTCCAGAGCTAGAAGGAGGCGAATGACCCTTGTCCAAAACTTGAGGCCAATGTGGCCTTACAAGGGGTCATCTCCAATTATGCTACCTCCTTGGACATGCAAGAGAGGAATGTAAATTTCATTTGACTGCCAGAGCTGGTGGAGCTTACTTGCTTCACATTAAAAATAAAGTTTAAAAAATACATTAAAATGGGAAATGGTTACTTTTGTACCCTGAGAGGAAAGGAGGAGAGAAAAGAGGGACAAGAACCTGAAAACAGAGAAAACAAAAAAGAGGTGTCAGTTGACAAGTGAGGGGTTCAATGCAAGAAATTTAAAAGCAGCTCCATCTAGTAATCTATTTGAGCTTGCTTTATGATGCATATCTCTCTCTTTTCCCCAAATCTTCAGTAAATTGGACCACACATCCAAAAATCTCAGGAAAGCAGTTCTGCGGAAATTATATACATGTTATTATGGTGAGACCACTGATGATCTGAACTAATTTGCTGAAAGGAAGACTCAGAACTAGAAGAAAGAAGGAGAAAAATAAGCTCACCAGCAAGTCCCCAAATTCTTGGTAAGGCTTCGGATAAACTCCAGTCCCAGGGGGTTTAGTCCATAGTACATCAAAAGGGATCAGCAAACCTTGCTACACCTGACTAGCATCATTTGAATTAGGAGGCTTTTAAAAAAAATTTTAACTTATATATGAAAATTGATCTGCTTCAAGGTTGTATATGGTGAGATTTTTGGACTTACGTGCAAACATGAGAAGTATATAATTCTTTATCCTATTTTTAAAATATAATCTAATTTTTAAATGTTTTTTATCATATTATGCAGGGACTTAAAGTTCAACATATCAATACTTGATGAAAAATACCTGCTCCTTATTATGCCTAAGATGTTTGAAATGCAGTGAGATAGTGAGGTTAAGCTTAATAGCCTAAATCGTTTGATAATAACAATAAGCTTGTCTTCTGGATGGTTAACCTAAGTTTGCAGACCAAAATTAGAGAAAAAGGAGGGCTACAAGGTAAGCCAACATTTTGGCCCTAACCTTCTAAGGTCAATTAAGACTCAGGACATATGAGAACTTGTACTGTAACATCATGTACCTCAGTAGTGTCCCAAATTTTCTGATCAAGAAGATTATGGGGCCAAAGAGGAAAGTGATCGATGACTGTAGAGTGTGCCTAAGGAGAGTCACATGGGGAGAAAACACTCTCTCAGGCTTTCACAGAGAGCACATTGGCCAAGCAATGGCCATGACTCATCCACATGGCTGCACTGATAAAGGTTCTACAATCTGAGGTACAGGATCTCAGGATAAATCCTGAGGGGATTTCACTGACCTTCTCAGTCCAAAAAGCTACAACTCTTGTTGCACAGGTCCTGCTTTATCTTGGTCTTATCTATCCAGTAGAAAAGTATGAAGACGAAATATAGGAAGTAAAGCCATGCTGTTATGTTGAGCTGTGGGGAACTCAGGTCAATAATTTCTGACATTGCCAGTTAAACAGAAGACTCAAGGCTATTATGGTCTACTGGACTCTTTTAGAATATTTTGCTGAGTTTATACACCTATAATATTCAATAACGGAACTTAGAAAAAATGGGGTATACTGATGAATGTCCATTTTGTATCTGTGTATTCAAAGTGGTTAGGATAGATATATAGTTGCATTCTCTTAATGAATAGAATGATTTGTTCTAATGGTGTTTGTAAATAGGATCTCAAGTCCACATCTTGTACAGCAATTAACCATTAAGAAGAATATATGCAGTGTGTTATTTGTTGAAACTGTACTTCCGATTTGATTTGAAACTGTCTCATTGCTGTTTATCAATAAAATTTTGGAAAAGAAAAAAGAAAATTGAACATATTTATGGAATGTCATGTTATATTTAGATAGAACTATGCATTGTGTAATGATCAAAGGAAGGCAAACATTTATCTACTCAAGGAATTATAATTTC